TTTCGCTCTTGAGTTTTGCAGCGACGTGCTGAAATTAGCGGAACTTAATTACGTTCCCTGGCTAGTTGACTCGATACACTGTACTCCACTTCCTCCATCTCTGTGCGAATTATGCAAATGTGCCCCTCCTCTTGCCACATCGCTTTCATCCCCTCGCTGCTATAAGTATTTGCATCTGCAACTAGGTTTTGCAACTAAGTTGTCCAATGTTGACAGTGTACATGTCGCTGGACGTTGCAGCCTGCAATAAAGCCCGTACGAAACCCGCTTAAGCCTTCAGCTTAACGACATGTGAGTGGTGATGATCCAGGGCACCCGCTAAATGCCTTATTGATGAAGATGTCTTTAGTGATCTCAAAGACCCGCTCCAAGGCCACCTACAGATATCGACAATGATTTGATTGCTCCGAGAGATTTGAAATTTTTGAGCAGTCGCAAGTTGTCAACGGACCTTGGTGCCACTGAATGAAGTCGAAGATCATTTTTAATATTAGGTTGGCGGGAAAGTTCTGTCATATATTTTTGAACCCAAAATATTTGCTAATTACCTGAAGAGCGTTAACCGGTAATGTGAGCATTTATACATCAAAGAATGGTCTTTCTATTGGTATCACTGGCTTGACTCCTGCTTCTCCTTATTGTGCAATATGAACAAGAATGTTATCCGCTACCTTTGGCACCGACCCCTCCAAGCGCTTCCTCATTCTTTCTTCTACCGCCCCTGGCGCCAGCATGACAGCTGTTGATGCCGAAATAATGGAGCTGCATAAGGACGATGTCTACAATTATTGACAATCTTCCACGACGCTAAAGCTTCAGAGAGCAGCCTACAGTTTGAATGACGAAGTGAGGTTTGGGTATACCTGTGAACTTAGCCTGAGGGAGCTGTGGGTTGGTAAACTGCTGGACGAAGAAGCTGCATCCTTGGTCAATCCGTATGCAAAGCAGCTACGAGAGCTGAGGCGAATCGCCGATCAGAGGGAAAAATTCGTCCGCACAGTCCGTCTTCAACGTGATGGTGCAGCCACTCCGTCCAAAAAAGTTCGAGCCGAACTTCACTGCCACGAAAAGTTTCGAGCGCGAACTTCAATGGCATAAGAAGCTGGATAAGCTGTCCCCGCTGCACCGGTGTACCACATACTTAGCTCATTCTAACTGCTAGTTACCTCTCGGACATAACCGTTATATGGCCGAGAAAACCTCCACGACTCGAGCCCAAGTCAACATTGAGATGATATCCAACATTGCGTCGTGCCAGCCTGCATTGTGAAGCGATGGCATCCACGAAGTGCTCTAAAACTGGCAGGGATTCCGCAATGACATTGCTGTATAATTTTGATCTTGTACGCCTCTCTATAAAAAGAAAGCCTTGTTTGAAAAAATGTGACAGAACTTTCCCCATACCTGATAACTGATTTAAGTTTTTTTTTTCTGGATTGAAAAAAAGTAAGCAGCGTGATGAATTCCCGGACAGGGGCCATGTTACTGACGTTTGGCTCCGACTTCAAAACGTGGAAGATTAGAAGTTTCTAGTTCCAGTGTTTGTTTCAGCATTGTTTCCGCTTTCCTTCACAGACCCCTGATCCTGTTGATTCACTTGTTCCTCAATGTCGCTCATGGGTCCTACACTCAGGGGTAGGGTATTTGAATACATTGTTGATGCTGCACCATGGTCAAGGGCGTGGTACTTCACGAGAAGGCATCGTCACATCAATAGTTTCTGTTTTTTGAATGAGTTTTCCAACCATCCAGACGATCTCTTGCTTGGGCACAATGTTTGAAGAATGTTTCTCAACAAAGTGCTGTCTGCGTTGCTCGTTTGTACGGAATTATTTTAACTATTTCAGCGAGCCTCGTTTCCTCTTACCTCGTCTAAAGGCAGAGCCCAAGATAATTTATGATTGTTTCATTTTTTGTACGGAGATTTTATGTGGGCTGCAACAAACAACTCTATATGAGTTCACGCCAGAAAGTGGTAAGGGTGCGACGATAAGGAGCAAGGGTGCTCAGGTGACTCCGTCCACAGTGATAGACTGTCCTTTCTGCGTTTTCTCCTCGTTTGATGCTCTCTCGCTGTTCTGGGTTTCGGTCCTCTCATTGTCTCGTCGTTCTGGCCCTACTAGGGCCTCATATGGATGTAATTGTTTCCTCTTCTTTTTCTTTCCACGGGCAGGTCAACGAACCTCACACTTTCCTGTTTCAGACCCGGCTACCGACGCTTTTCTCTGACTCGTCGTAAAGTCTGCTTTTGAGGGGCCATATGATTCAATAGGTGCAGTGATTCATGTGACTCCGCCAAGCAGCATGGAGTGTGTCTTAAACATCCTTTTGAGAAGTCGAACGGATGATGGTCACTATTGTCTGTCGTTCGTCGGCTCATAAACAAGCTTTCGGTTTATCAACAGAGTGACACACACAACAACACTAAGAGCCGCTCTTTATTCTAGAGACCAAATTACCACTATTCATAGACCTGCAAGATTGCAGATCTGTATGACAACCATCTCCCTCTGTCAAGTCGAACGTCCTGCTTCAGTGAATGGATTCTGCTGTCCCGGATTTTCTCCGACAGCTCTTTAGTTTTCGACTTTCGCGAACTGTGGCTAGTAAAAGTAATCGCGGCTGCCTCAATCGGCATCCGATGGTCCGTGGCCAAATCGCGAGCTGCTCAGGAATTTCGAAGCCTACTAAGCGGCCAGTTATGTAACATTGTCTCAAGTGTTTCGACGTGAAGAAAAGGTGTCTTGACACTGCCATAAAGGATAAAGATATAATGTCTCCACCGTTTAATAAATCCTTCTTGGGATGCACAACGCATTCTACCTTCCCTTCATACAGTCGTAGTGAATGATGGGCCAGCCGATGCACAAGTCAGTATTATCATCCTGGAATCTAGTACCAGTTTACCGTCCCCGGAGAATGAAAGTCTCCGTTGGCCTGGGCGGCGCCAGTGCTAGACTCAATGCCTGGAGCAACGCGTTATAAGCGTGCCACTTGCCACTAGACTACCTCTGCCATGACCTGCCATACCCTCCTCAATAGTTTCTAGTTTTCTGGAGTCGCGTGGCTCCCCCCCCCTTCAATCTCCTTCACTTTTGATTTCAGAAGATCTTCCAATGTTTTTTTGTCGGAACTTGTTACTAACCAGCAATTCCACGACGCCAATTTTCCCGAAGGATATCTTGGCCGATCCGTCGCCGTTCAAGTGTTTAACAAACTGAGTTTATTGGCACTATTGAACTTGCCCGCGCGCAAACTTGCCGCTGAAGACGCTTTGGTTGCAAGATATGTGGCTCAAGTTCAGTAACCAAGTAGACGAGTTGAGTTATATACAAGGTGACTGGTCAATTTTTCGCAGGGGAGGCATCAATATAAATTTGACTCGACCGATAATTTTCTGTAAGCAGACAATACGAGGTGCAGCCCTCAATTAGTTTGTAGGTGCTCACCTTGTTCCATTGATGACATTTAAATTGGCAGGTTGTTAGCGACGAGCTAATTGCAGAAACAGAGTGATAGCGCTCTAGTTCTCATTCGTTTCACTATAAGGCTGTCGTACTCTGGCACAACCTTTTCAGTCAACGCTTTTCCTATGACACACACTACTTCTACTACCCCATGGTGACACAGCTTACGGTCTGTCCCACCATGAAACATCTTACTCTATTGCCTATTCTTTCATTGACTGCCACCACTGTGGTGCACTTCTTTTGGCCAATACCTTTTTGTTACTAGTCTAGGGAAAACGTCTTCAGTTATAGCAGGTTTTCTTGAGTAGATGCAGTTGTCGAATTATTCTCGACTTCTCCACCTTTTTCGACTCTAAAGAGACGAACAAGCCTGAAAGTAAAGCGAAGAAAAAGCGTCTACCAGTTTGAAAGGCTCACAGAAACTCGCCGTGCTGGATTAACTTTGTGCCAAATAACGAGAACGTCGGTAAAAGAATAATGTACCACTTCCCCTCTCTCATTATCTGTAACTCTTCTGTCAACTGTGAAACTACCACTTTTCCTCCTCTCTCTTTCTGACGTTGGCAACTCTCCAAGGATGATCATTTTGCTGGCGATTCGCGTGCCAGACAGACGTTCTTATCCATTCAGTAACTGCGAATTCCACATCAAAATCATTAGCCTTTTACAGTAGATCATCATGGGAGGACTCGACTTAAATAGCACAAAGCCATTTTTGGGAGCGTCGTGTGCGTACGGGTAGGGTAATCTTTCCCTGAAAGCTTTCTTCGCATATATATGACCTTTGGACATATTTTCGTTGTTTCTTTATTTTATCTATTATTTTGCGCTTCTTTTTCGAAAAATCACTCCTTCACACAGGCACTCCAATGCTTTCAAAAATATGTTTCTCTTAAAGGAACTAGGAGACGCCACATCGCACTTTTCTGTCGGTGTTGGTCATTCCTGAATCCTCAGTAAGCCATGAAACCGCAGTCCGTTCGCTGTGAATGAAGGGCCCTGCCAAGAAGGATGGGTCAAACCTAGCGCCACCCCATTTTTCTTCCGGCAATGGACCAAAAGACCATGCGCCGAACCCAGTCTCACTGACACGCCCCTAATCCGCAGAGAACAAAACTGTAATCAGTTCAGGCAACTGCTTTCAGTGGAAAGTGCCACCACTCGGGCAAATTTTTTTTGTATTTTTCAACTTAAGCTTTCATGAGGGACCACTTTGACAGCTCTACTACCCTCACATTTTCTTGAAGTTTTTCTAAGAAACATTCGGCGACTTGAGGCCGTGGATTGTGGGGTCCAATAATGGTTTTTAAGGCAATCCATCTTACGGGTAGGGGGAAAAAGCAAAGAAATTGTTAGAAACGCTATAGCTGAGACCCGTAGTAGGTAGATCGAACGGGCGATACCGTTTAGCATTTACAGAAGCAACGAGAGGGACAAACTCGATGGTATACCAGTATTAACGCAATATCCATGGATATTCATACTTGATAACGTCGTGCTTTTTGGCCACTGTAACCTCACGCCTTTGCCATGCACTTTCGAGTTGTGGAATTGAGAGAACCATTGCGAAGTACCACCCCTCCGGTAGTCGCGGAAAATCTCTTTCGTGTCTCTTCATCTCAAGATTTTAGTTCTACTTAGGCAGTTGTAAAACTTAAGTTTCCGCAAAGATTGCGAAATATTCAGCAATCAAAAGTGTGGTGAAATAATAAGGGTTCCAGTGACAGTGACAAGTTGCTAATTGCTGTTTCTCCTTCAGAGAATGAAGAGTAGAGGTCTGAGCCTCAGGCTTGTTCAAAAATTCCAACCATTCATACAGAGGAACCCCTTTGGCTGAGCTTATCCCTAAATCGTTCACATTTCAGAACCTGAGCACCGGTTCATCGGTCGATTCTGAAGGCAGCCATATTCGAAGGTTGAATATGCCTATGATGTATCAGATGTATGAAAGTCAGGTAAGCGGTGGAAAGGTAGATTGAATCGTGTTTTACGATAGCCCTTTGATGTTTCAGTACGAGGATCTTCGCGGCACAATCTATGGCCCTGATAGCCCAGACTTCCATCCAGCTCAAGCAAGTGAAACCTTGCGAAAGGCGCTTAGCGGAATGGGTAGGTCATCTTAAACGTATTCTTTCTTACTTCAGCGGAAGACTAGCCTTTATCACTATGAAGTCATGGCCATCGGAAGAAAATGTAATTGAAGTAATCATTTGACAACCAGCTAAGAAACGCGTGGTATAGAAGAATTATCTCAAAAACTCTCATACCTCTGATATGTGGTATTCAATAAGATGGTTAAAGTGTATTAAAACGTTATGTATGTTCCTCGTCATGTTTTCTCTTACCGTGACGTAAGGGGAAGGGGCTTCACAGATTAAGTTCAAGACACAGCCCCCGATGGTCGCGTGGGTGGAGTCCTCCCCGCCGTGTGTAGTGCTGGGGATCCACGTTGCGGCGACACGTCCTCCTTGCAAGCTGTGCAAGGTGTCAAGCTTTCGCGCCGAGATCTAATTTATTTGACTCTCAAGAGCTGCAGCATAAATCATGACCTGCTAAGAAATACTCCCTAGATTTGCGTTCAAGGCCTACTACCTACAGGGGGGGGCCAAAAAAAAAGTCACTTCGACCGAGTCACATATCAGCAAAGTTTTCGCAGCCCAGACAGAGGACGTGGATACGAGTACCAGGGCGGAAGATACCCTCGATAAGCAGGAGCA